GGGGGGGGGTAAGTTTTATTTTGGTGGTGCGTCGGTTATAAAAGTCGATAACATGAAAACAATTGCTAAGTCCTATTTGAAATAGCGACGTTCCTGAAACTGAGAACAACTTCATTACAGGCTGGATCAGTAGTCACAGATACAGGTAGTACGCCTCTTCTCTCAGCAATAGTGAATGTGTGTCTTAGAGTGTATTTTATGAATTTTAAAAATGTTGTCTCATCAAATGGCAAATGCAGAGAATTATTTAAGTCGCATCTGTAATATCTTTTGCAATAATGTGATTTGATAATAATAGGTATTATAGACCGTGTACATCCACCGATATGTAAGCCAGCCAATCTACTGATTCAGAAATCAAGTTTATATTGAGCTAACAGCAAACTAGTCAACAAGTTTGTCGAAGTACTGGGCAGCTATTCGCGTCACAGTAAACATCAATTTCAAACAAACGCTTATTTCTTTCTGGCGAAATAAACGTCATTAACCGTAACTGTGTTTGGTACTAATGACGTGTGGTAATTTTGATCACGTGAAACATCAGAAATCCTTGTGATCATACAGCACGTGCACCTGGGACCTCTTTATGATGACACGATATCTTTTTTTGTGATACATGTAATATACGGAACACGAGGTTATCTGCAATTCTACGGAACAAAGGTTGCTTTTGTGGTTATCATACGGGACCCTGACTACATAGAACCTAAAAGCTCTATGCCAACTCCGATTGGCTCGGCAGTGATCACTGGGGTTGTCTTAAGATCACAACGGAAAAGTAGTGGAAAATAAATGGACGTATCTAAGATTATACATGTGGTTACAGGTACAACAACCATAACGGTTAATAGGTTGATTATTCACGAGCAAAGGTTTCTTTTCACGTGCAGGTTTCACCTGCAAAATATCCACAATTATAAATTTGATTTTTGCTGGTAATATTACATTGTGTTTACCTTCTATAAAAAGTGCCCGGATGTACATGTACAGACATGTGGCGGGACAAATGTATGGACGTTAGGTGGGAACCCATGCTGTACTAAAATCAGTGCCCGGATGTACGAATGTGTATCGGGAACTAAGCTGAATGAATATCGGGTAGCCAGTCTATTTATATTTGTGAAACGATTCATGAGATTGTAAATATGTATAAGTTTCCATGAAATAAAAGATCATCATCATCGTCTTAATGTGTCGGCGTTCTCGATTCTGACGCACTACATTCGACATGTATTCTGGTACATGTACAGTAGAAGGTAGTACTAAAAGTTTGCTGGATAACCGAACTACTCGGTAGTGAAGCGGACGTAAAACCTATCAATCAATCAATCAAGAACGGGCTGGTGTTAGTTCTACTTTGTTAAAACGGACGAGCAGCACGACTAACTGTAAAATGTTAAACAATACAAGCAACACTAATCACACTAATAAATGTTTGATGAATTCTGCACGCTCCATTCCAACGTCGAGTATATTAAAATGATCGGAATCGCTTTCGAAGAGGTGGCTACATTGCAGTTATAAGATTTGATTTAATATAATAAACATATTATAATAGAGTGTCTGTTTCTCTAAACCCTTAATAGATGATTCCCCCGATCTAGCAGGTGGTCTTTGCAAACATTTAGTTGATTTCAGTTAAAAACCGCACAAAATCCAAGTAGGTGTTTCGTACATTTTTCACACCACTGTACTGGATGCCTGGGAAAGTCGAACAGTGAATACAAGCTCCTGCAAGAGTCCGACTATATGTGGTTCTGCACTGCTTGCAAAGATAAGGTTAAGAAAAACATCATCACTGATAGGAAAATAGAGGAGGTATGTAAGGACACACTGGTAAAGTGTGAGGCCATCGTGGAGAAATGCGAGAAAAGGATCTCCGCCCTAGAAGCCATAATAGCAGCAAACAAATGCGACAAGGAAGCATTGAAGGATACAGTGTGTACGATAGTAAAGGAGATGGGAAACTCAGAACAAGGGAGCCTAATAGAATGGCCAAAACCACAGGCAGCAGGGACGGCCAAGTCAAGCCCGCATCCAAACACAACCGTGACAAACATAATGTCCGAAATAAACGAGAGGAAATCTAGGGAGAGCAACATAATAATATATGGCATTCCAGAAAAAGACTCGTCCAACACGAATGAAAGGATAGTCCATGACACTGGGATCGTTATGAACATACTGAGGAAATGTAATGCCAGCCCTGCAGAGAAGGATGATGTCAAGTGTTCACGGCTTGGAAAATTCAACAAGGAGATCGCAAAGGAACAGCGGAAAGATAGACCATTGTTGGTATCGCTTGGAAACATGGAAACCAAAAAAGCAATGTTTAAAAGTATAAAGAATTTAGGTGGAGAGGAGGAATTTAAAAATGTAAGAATAAGCAACGATCTGACTAAGGCAGAGAGGGAACAGGAAAAACAACTGTGGGAGCAAGCTAAAGCGAAACAGCAACAAAACCCATCGGGGGAATTTACATACAAGGTCCGGGGACCACCGTGGGCCAGGAAAATAATAAAAGTACCGACCACAGTAAACAAGGAGGCCGAGTAACATACCAGAAAAAAATAGTCTCGAACAAACACCGGGAAAAACGCCCAAACCAAAAGTCAATCGATAATCTAAAATGCATGTACACAAACGCCGACCAGTTAAAAAACAAAATGTCAGAACTAAACATTCGAGCAAACGATATAAAACCAGACATCATAGCAATTACAGAGGTAAAAGCAAAAACTAGAATACAGAATATGAAAGCAACAGAATACAGTATAGACGGGAACCAAAGCTACAAGTTGTTTAGTAAAAACATTGAAAATACGGAGGGCAGGGGAATGCTAATACTAATCAACTCGGATCTGATAGCCGAGGAAGTAAACATGGAAACATCGTTCCAGGAGAACCTATTTGTGGAAATAAGTATAACCAATAAAACGAAACTTCTAGTAGGCCTTATATATAGATCGGACTCGGGAACCACGGATAACAACAACAAATTGCAAGATCTGATAGAAGAAGCGGCCCGGAAAGGAAACGGAAAACTAATAATAATGGGAGACTTAAATTATCCAGGCATAAATTGGGAGTCATGGAATACTAGGGGTGAAAGCACCGAAACAAAAGAATACAAATTTATACAAAAGCTACAAGACAATTTTCTTGTTCAACATGTACAGGAGCCGACAAGATGGCGAGGGAGAGACAACCCGCATATCCTTGATCTCGTAATAACTAAGGATGAAAACTCGCTTTCAAATATTGAATACCAAAGTGCACTTGGTAAGAGCGACCACTGTGTCCTATTGTTTAATGTAATATGCAATATGAAAGTAAATCTACACAGTAAAAAGAAAATATGCTACAAACAGGCCGATTATGAAACAATCAATGCCGAACTGAATAAGATAAATTGGGACGAAGTATTAAATAATTCTAACAGCATCAATGACAATTGGAGCAACTTTAGTACCATAAAAAAAACAAGTGGAAGAGGAACATGTACCAACAAAAATCATTACAATGGGTAGAAACAACAAACACAGCTTTCCTGCTGACAAGGCAACACTGGAGGCTATCAAAAAGAAACATTCATTGTCTAGAAAGGCGTCTACAAGTAAAGACATGGAAGTAAGAAAACAGTATAATAAGACTAGAAATAAAGTAAGAAAACTAACTCGGAAACTAAGAAAGGAGTATGAACACAGTATTGCTGCAAAAGCCAAAACCGACCCTAAAGCAATTTGGAACTATATAAAATCAAAATCAACAACAAAATCCGATATCGGAGATCTTTACTCAAAGTCTAAAGACAAAACCTCTGCGAAAGTATCATCAGACAAGGGAAAGGCGGATGTACTTTGTAACTTCTTTAGTAGTGTCTTTGTAAAGGAGGAGACGGGAATTACACCGGAACTACAACAAAAGGAATTAACCGAGGAAATGACAGCTTTGAACGTGAAAGACGAGTCGGTAATAAAAGTGATAAAAAATCTCAAACCGGAAAAGTCTCCAGGATTAGACGAATTCCACCCAATGTTTCTCAAAAACACTGCCCCATCAATATCAGGTCCCTTGACGAAAATCTTAAACCAATCGTTATCAACAGGAACAATACCAGACGAATGGGAAAAAAGCCCGGGTTTGTGCCATATATAACAAAGGCGATAAATGTGAAGCAGGCAACTATAGGCCAGTTAGTTTAACATCCGTGGTATGCAAAGTTCTAGAGTCTATAGTAAGGGAACATATTACAAAATTCATGAGGAACAATAATTACTTTTCAGAGAAGCAGTACGGTTTCATATCTGGAAGATCAACTTGTCTACAACTTTTAGAAGTGATGGATAAATGGACTGAAGCCCTGGACAAAGGCCAGGTTATAGATTGTATATACATTGACTTTCAAAAGGCTTTCAATACAGTTCCACACAATAGGCTCCTCAACAAACTACAGTCATATAACTTCTCCAAATCAAATAACCTCCTGGATATCATCATTTTTGAAAGGTCGAAAACAGAAAGTAACGGTGAACGGTGTAGACTCCGAATGGACTAAGGTAACATCTGGAATCCCACAAGGTTCTGTGCTAGGACCACTGATGTTCGTGATATTTGTAAATGACCTCCCAGGAGTAGTTTAATCCGATATGTACTTATTTGCGGACGACACTAAAATATTTAAAATAATACAAAAAGAAGGGGACAGTGTCGAGCTTCAGAAAGACCTTGATGTAATGTGTAAGTGGAGTGACACGTGGCTTCTCAAAATGCACCCAGACAAGTGTAAGCATATGCGAATAGGCAAGGAAAGAAGCAGAGGGAAAAACAAACCAGAACCAATCTACCACCTAGATGGCAAAATGTTGGAGACATCCGACCAGGAAAAAGATATCGGTGTAATTANCCTTCCGGGGATGAGAGACCTCACCTACAGTCAGAGACTTGAGAAACTTAAACTACCAACGTTGGCCTTCAGGAGATGTAGGGGAGATATGATAGAACTGTACAAAATTATAAACGAAATATATGATACAGAATGTTGTAATGCAATCACACTTTGGAAAGATGCCGCTGATCGTCACAGCAACAGAGGACATAGCAAAAAAGTATACCCTAAGCGTGCAACAATGATGCTTAGGAAAAACTTTTTTTCAATAAGAACAGTGACAATATGGAACGATCTGCCTGAAAATGTTGTCTCCGCACCAAATGTAAATGTATTTAAAAACAGGCTAGATACCCACTGGAAACATCAAGAACTTTTCTTTAACTACAAATCATTAATCAAACCATAGACATTAACGTGTACCGAATAGAAATATATATATTTATGTATTGTGTAATATAAGAGTCTGGTATAGAGGACTTTCACTAGTCCTGAACCGGAAATAAACTTAACTTAACTAACTTAACTTAAAAGAACTAAAGTAAAAATCCTTTAAGCTGTTTGTAATCTTACCAAGTCGAGTGTTAACAATTTCAGATAGAGGATGCCATTTTGAGTTTTATTATGCTTATTATTTGCTTGCTGGAGTCGAATCAATGGTGAGGATGTTCAAACCAAGATGTAAAATAGAGTCATATAAAATATTTTCGAGGACTCATCAGTCGGACGAGCTAACAGACACGCGTATCTTGTGAAATAAATACTTCAGGTTTCCCTTCGAAACAAGCAAGTTTCAAAGTTCCAGATGGAGCAAATCTTTAAATCCCGAGTCGTTGAAAAACAAAACAAGAGGCCCAATACGCCTGAATCGCTCACCTGGTATTAATCTCACACAAGTTGTTATCTTAAAAGTGGACTAATATACAGCTACAGGCAAAATATCTGTTCGATTCATTAGAATCTATTATATAATTGAAACATATGACGCCTGTGACCTTGAAAGTCGAACAAGGACATTAAGTTGAACAGAGTTTATAGCCTTTCGTCCCAGTATGCTTCTGGCGAAATACCATTACCTTGGACCTTTTGAATATTCAGAACAAGTCATTTAAATATATAAACATAGTTGATCACTGTGACCTTGAATATGAGCGAAGGTCATTCATTTGAACAAGCTTGGAAGCCCTTCATCCCAGCATCTAACTGGCAAAATAGAATAACCCTAGGCCTCTTGGTAATTCAGGAGAAGTAGTTTAAAGGTTTTAAACATATTTGACCCCTGTCACTTTGATGAAGGGTGAAGGTCATTCGTCTGAACAAACTTGGTAGCCCTTCAGCTCAGCATGTAACTGGCCAAATATCATCCTCCATTGCCTTTTGGTTATTGAGAAGAAGTTGTTTAAAGGTTTTAAACATATTTGACCCCTGTGACCTTGAAAGTGGGTCAAGGTTATGTATATGAACCAACTTGGTAGCCCTGCATCCCAGCATGTTACAGGCCCAATATCATCACCCTAGGCCTTATGGTTATTGAGAAGAAGTTGTTTAAAGTAAAATATTGACGCCTGGCGGCCGGACGATGGACGGACGACGTCGGGCCAGGTGAGCTAAAAACTAGAGTTGAGCACAGGTGTTCCGGAAAAATAACATTTTCTTGCACCGATTTAATATTGTCAACATAATCCGATAGATCTTATGTTAAACACACCATGAAATATGAAAATAGTCTGTAAAATCTTATTTTACCTCAGCACGAAACATTTACAAACAATAGCAAAGGGTCGGCTGATCTGCTACTAAGAAACCATAAAATATTGCCAAAGAGCCGGCTGATCTGATACAAACAACCATGAAACATTGGCAAAGAGCCAGCTGATCTGATACAAACAAACCATGAAACTACAAACAAACCATGAACAACTTAAGAACTATAAGCCAAATGCTAACTAATACCCCGCTCCTATATAAACCAGAACTGTACGCTAACAGCTTACTTATGCAAAACAATATAGTCTCCCATCAGTAATGAGTTATGGAAATCACTATTTTATTAAAAACAAAAAAATAAAATAACAAAAAAATAAACAAGTAATTCGAACAAAGGGGCTTAACTCCATCAAAAAGGGTCGAAATCCCAAATTAAAATGACAGTGCACCACAACATAAGATACCAATGAAATCCACCTGTTAGTTAAGGAGGAGTTGCACGGACAAGTATTTCGTACAAAGGGGCATAACTCCATCAAAAAGGGTCGAACTCCCAAACTAAAATGCCAGTGCACAACAACATAAGATACCAATCATTCATGCAAAGTTTCAATGAAATCCACCTGTTAGTTAAGGAGGAGTTGCATGGACAAGTATTTTTCACAACGGGGCATAACTACATCAAAAAGTGTCGAAATCTCAAATTAAAAGACCGGTGCACAGCTACATAAGATACTGATCCTTCATGCGAAGTTTCAATGAAATCCACCTGTTAGTTAAGGAGGAGTTGCATGGACAAGTATTTTTCACAACGGGGCATAACTACATCAAAAAGTGTCGAAATCTCAAATTAAAAGACCGGTGCACAGCTACATAAGATACTGATCCTTCATGCGAAGTTTCAATGAAATCCACCTGTTAGTTAAGGAGGAGTTGCATGGACAAGTATTTTTCACAACGGGGCATAACTACATCAAAAAGTGTCGAAATCTCAAATTAAAAGACCGGTGCACAGCTACATAAGATACTGATCCTTCATGCGAAGTTTCAATGAAATCCACCTGTTAGTTAAGGAGGAGTTGCACGGACAAGTTACTGTGGACGACATCCAGACATCCAGACAGGGTGATTCCAGTTTACCCCCACCCCCTAACTTCGTTGCGGGAGTATAATTGTCAAAGAATTGTGGATCTGATAAAAACATCCGTAAAGATTTGATAGAAAAAAACATGCAAGACGGTTGTCAAAGATCTGATAGACACCCCGACGAAAAAAGTACTCATTATATACGATATTCGATAATAACACATCAATCACATATGTAGCCTAAAATTGTTTACAAGACCCGTTTCTAGCACTTCATTGTATTATGTACTCAATGTATTTACAAAAACTTATATGTTTACCAGATTTAATACAAACACATTAATTAAACATGTTTCCGATTTTGATACAAACACAACAAATTACAAGTGTCAAACCAGATTTAATACAAACATATCGATGATACATGACAATTGTGTTAACGAGATTTCATACATGTATTTACCTACTAGACGGAACTACTTTTTATGGGAATCCCCTTGTCATGGCGAACTGAAAAGATCCTGTTATTTGCAAAAAATATCAAAGTTTATAAAAGCTTTGTATCAATCTCTACCAAATACGGAAGGTATGTGATAAAAGAAAAACCACACACTTGTGTTTTTCTAACGAATCTGAAAGCACTCATTTATTGCGCAGACGCATATATTCTCTCGTGCGATACTTTCTGATTCGTTAGAATATACATATTTAATAAAATATCACTGTGAAATGAGTATACAAAATATGTTAGTAAATATATAAATTATATTCCATGTTTAAAACTAGTATGAAGTGTATTAAAATCATTTATTTGATACATGTACGTGTAGATAGAATACAATACCCGACAACATGATGGAAGACGGAAGTAAACGGGAAGACAAAAGTGACTACAGTGTTATCCAAAGTGAAATTAAGAGGTCAATATATATATATGAGAAATCATAACCTAATTATCTAGTGTTTTGCCTGCAGTAGAACAGCTAGGGGTCCTCAAACAAAATATCTGTCATTTACAAGATACTGAGCAGCGCGTAGTACATTGTACCAGAGTTCGTCAGTTTCAGTAGAAATTTTCAGACATGATACTCGGCAGGAGCAATATGTAAAGAGGTGATTTATGCTGGAACAATGTTAAAACGTTATTCAAAAATAGCTGGAGGATATATTGTATATATTTACTGTGGTGGGAAGTAATTAGTTTAGCCAATGTAACATGTACACGTTAAGGACAAATTTATTAAACTATTGGGAAATAAATTCACGATCAGAACAATATCTAACGTATTGTTGGATAAATATTTTCAAAAATGATGATTTAAGAAATTTACCAAAATTACAAAATAAAAATATTCCGAAGTGTCCGATAAATTACCTCTTACCTTGAAGAGGTACCTTCATACCTCCATGTATCATAAAACTTAAATCTCAAGTCGTCAACTACTTAATATCCTTGATAATTTCTTAAATAAAAGACAGTCACCCATGAATGACAAGAATACATTGAAGCTGTTCCTACATTATCTTACACAAATTGCAAAAGCCTCTGGTATGATGACTTTACATACATGAAATTAGTTCTGAATATGCGTAGGAAACAGAAGTTAATGTTTGAATTACAGAAAAATATTTGCTTAAACTATTCCATTATGAAAGATACTCTTGAATAACTTAATAACGATGTTTGTCAGGTAATGAGCATATTTTTACCGAGGTGGAGACATTTTTTTATTGATATGCAGATTTTGTATCATTTTTACAATTACATGTAACAACAACCCATCACAGGAAATATATCTAATAACATCATAATGCTTGTTTGTTGGTAAAACATTACTCATTAAAATTAATCGACTCTTACCCACAAACTTTCAATTTTAGAACTGGAATTGAATATGATGTAAACTGAAGGACATTTCTATGTGCTCCAATCCACAGTCAAAGGGGACATTATATAACATCTAATTGAAAACAAAAGCTTGCTGATCCAAAAACCAAGAAAAGCTTACAGAGGGGTTCCAAAAAAAATAAGAGACTTGGCACATTTACTTACTATGAATAACCACATACAAATATAATAATGCAAATTTAAACAGTATGTCACAAAATCAGGTTTACAATATTTCCGTTACTAGCACTCTACCTTGTGTAAACAGTAACATCCTTGGTTTGAAGTTTGTATCAAACTATCACAGTGTCATGGCTGGAAGCACATTTATCACCAGTTTTTGTCTTTGTCCGATCGATACTCTGGTTGTTGATGTTGTTTACAATACCAAAAAACACTGAACTCATTCACCCCTGCAATTTCATATTGAACTATTCCAACCTTTGAATCGGAAGAGTTCAAATGTGTCTTCAGGGGTGAATGAGTTAAAGAATCATTGATGGTTTTCTACAGGCCATTTACAACGTAACTACACCAGTGAGGTATGAGTTCATTATGTCCGTAGCACTACATGCTGACCTGCACGCTAGCACATTGTAATATGAGTTCATTATGTCCGTAGCACTATATGCTGACCTGCACGCTAGTACATTGTAATATGAGTTCATTATGTCCGTAGCACTATATGCTGACCTGCACGCTAGTACATTGTAATATGAGTTCATTATGTCCGTAGCACTATATGCTGACCTGCACGCTAGTACATTGTAATATGAGTTCATTATGTCCGTAGCACTATATGCTGACCTGCACGCTAGTACATTGTAATATGAGTTCATTATGTCCGTAGCACTATATGCTGACCTGCACGCTAGTACATTGTAATATGAGTTCATTATGTCCGTAGCACTATATGCTGACCTGCACGCTAGTACATTGTAATATGAGTTCATTATGTCCGTAGCACTATATGCTGACCTGCACGCTAGTACATTGTAATATGAGTTCATTATGTCCGTAGCACTATATGCTGACCTGCACGCTAGTACATTGTAATATGAGTTCATTATGTCCGTAGCACTATATGCTGACCTGCACGCTAGTACATTGTAATATGAGTTCATTATGTCCGTAGCACTATATGCTGACCTGCACGCTAGTACATTGTAATATGAGTTCATTATGTCCGTAGCACTATATGCTGACCTGCACGCTAGTACATTGTAATATGAGTTCATTATGTCCGTAGCACTATATGCTGACCTGCACGCTAGTACATTGTAATATGAGTTCATTATGTCCGTAGCACTATATGCTGACCTGCACGCTAGTACATTGTAATATGAGTTTTTACTTTTGCTGGAAATAGTTCCCTCTACAACATGTCTGCTACAAATTTTCCACTTCATCGTCTGCGTCATCTCTTTCTTTTGCAACACGTTTCAGAATTAACTCTTTCACAAGTTTATGCTGAAAGCTTCCTATGCACTTCTCACCTTCCTCTCTTTGACCTTCCATTCCTGCCATTCCCGACACAGGATTGTTAGCCTTGGTAAGGAGAGAAAGAATACTAAGCTCCCCATTCTCTTCTAATTCCTCAACAGCTGAATTGAAGGAATGCAGCAACCAACCACCCGTTTTGTTACTACATTTACTTGTATATTCTGTAAAAACATTAAAAGTCTTGTTAATAAATTCACATTCAATTTCTGTAAAAAAACAAAACAAGAGGCACAAGGGCCTTAGCCGTCACCTGAGTTATATCATAGGTACTGGTAGCTTTATTTTATGGTTGAGATGTGATGTGGAAATCAGCATGTAAACTAAGTGAAATACAATACTTGCAGGAATTCCAATTTTACAATATAATACATGTACTGTCATCCACCAAAGATGATTCTGACCAAGAAATAACGATTTTCCCTGGCCCCTAGGGTTCAGGTAGGAATCCCAATTTTACAATTTAAAACCATCTTCCTCCAAGGATAATTCTCATTAAGAAAGAATAATTTCCAACAGAAAATTGTCAAAATATACCCAAAAGTGTTGTTTACCTATATAAACTATAGTAAACTAAACCCCCTCCCCAAGGGAGAACGGATAGCTCAGGGGTCTTGAAATTTACAATTTAAATAAAGCCCCTGATGATCTTTCCATCTATGCAGAGAAAATGACTAGTACCCGAGTCTGGAGAAGTAGTTTTTTGAAATACTGGTTAATTTTCCTTTTCGGGAATACCAATTTTACAATTTGATAGCCTCATCTACCAAGGATGATTTTGACCAAGTTTGAAAAAATTCCATCCACTGGTTCTTGAGAAGAAGTTGAATATGTAAAAAGTTTACGCACGACAGACGACGACGGACGGAAAGCGATTGAAATAAGTCACTTGAGCAAAGCTCAGGTGACCTAATAAGGGAGAGGAATCTTGGTACCAACCATTGTCAAATCTTCATTAGATCTATGCGCGATTAATATTTACGCTTCTTTACACTTTTTATACCCCAACTTGGGAGAGGGGGTATATAATATTTGTCAGTGTGTTTGTGAATCTGTCTGTCCATAGTGAAAAGCGTGTGTACATGCAAGATGCAACAATAATTGACAAATAAATATTTTCATGCTAGTATTTGGGAAGTATTCAAAATTAAAGAAACAGTCGTTTGAAAGTTTGTTCAAAGGTTTTGAATTTTTATGCATTTGGGGGCCAAAACACCCCCAAACCATACATAGTCCTTTATATCAACATTATGGCTTGGTATACGTAGTACCAAGTATCAAGTTCATCCTGGATACTCAAGGAGTTTCGTTCATTTGTACCCTCTGCACCCCTGTAATATGTCATGACAAAATCAAAGGCTCGGTGTGTGCCAACTTATGGATGAGACAAGAGGACTAGTTTGATCCTTTGTTGTACATTAACCAATTCTGGGGGTCACATAACGGTAAAACTGCCTGCCTTTGAAGTCGTGTGCTGTTCCTCTGTAATCTCCAGGACAGGTATCAGCCTAGCGATTGGTCGGTTTTTTTTATACCTGAGACCAATCACATATCTAGCCATGAACCTTCAATTTTGCTATGACATATTCCAGGTGTTCAGAGAGTGTATTATAGTGATCATAACCCCTGGAGTATCTAGGATGTATTAAGTTATACACCTGATTAGATTTTGGTAGTCATCTGTGTACAGTAGGACACATACTACAGTGTAAAGGTTTACAGTGCGGATATTGGACAGGTGACATACTTACCATGTGCACTTGCAAAAGCAACAACACAATCAGGAGGACACATTGGAGCAAACTCATGTGATAACTGGTCATCGTCCTAGTTAAAATAAAACGAACATTGATAATACATTGTACAAAATTGGCAGTTAAGAAAATTATACTGATCATGAGATGCAAAATGCCTTTATCGGTCACCTGTTCATGAAAGTTTTGGGTTGACTGTAGCAAATTACATGTTGAATTCTGCTCTTTGTTATCACAAAGTTATGGCAGAATTTCATTTTGAATAGACCTGAAAAATAACAGCAATTGGAGTGGATCATGTAGTGTGGTAGCTATAATAAGTATAATATACCGGGCCGGCTTGGTGAAAGGCCAGTGCGCTATCCACTGCACCACCTGACCACCCAAAATTAGTATAGTGAAAACGTGAATTGAATTTTACAGTATATGCATGTGAGCTGTCATTTAAGTTGGACTGTTTGTGGCATGTACATGAAACTATGCACCTAATTAAGTTGATGTAACATTAACGCTCACAAACATGCGCGCCATTTTGAATGGGATACTCAACGCAATTCCGACGTTTTCTGATATTTTCTGGTATGATGGCTTATAACAAGAGGCCCATGGGCCTTAACGGTCACCTGACATCCGATTCAAATTAGGACTGTCATCCAGGGGCCAATTCATACTTTTTGTCGGTCCGAATGACCTTGCTGCATCTTCCATTAATTTTTCCTTGTGAACACAATAACTTTTAACCGATTTTGATGAAACTTTGTATGCAGCTTTGTATCAATGAGATCTTGGATGAGTTTGAATACCGGACCAATTTGACCATAACTTACATATATTCCCCTTGGTAATTCTTTTATTGTTGGACCAAGTGAACACGATAACTGAAATAAATGGGTGTGACTCCAATTTTGACACAAGGGGGCTGTTTTGAACAAACTTGGTAACAGTATGTCTTCTGTTCTTGGTTAAAAGAAACAAGTAAAAGCGTAAATCAATCATTTATTAAGTAAGGCACAAAATTTTAATAGCACCTTGTTAGTAGCAAAAATGTGTCATGAATGAAAAAAAAGGTGTACCACATGAATTTACATCTATTCTTGTGTAATGTCAATCAACATTACAGGGACAAATAATGATATAATGACAAAGGGCAATAACTCTGCAGGTCACCGTCAAATAGTTAACGGACAAAGTTTCAATGAACTCCGTCAACATTTATTCAAGTTATCGTGTTTACAAGGTCCAATAATAATATTATTACAAAGGGCAATAGCTCTATAAGTTACTGTCGAATAATTCCCATTTTCGAACTCATCTGAGATCTTATTGTTATAAGGCCACATACAAAGTTTCATCAAACTTGGTTGATAATTACTTAAGTTATCGTGTTCACACAAGTTCCAATAATAATATTATTACAAAGGGCAATAACTCTGTTAGTTACTGTCGAATAATTCCCATTTATAGTCCGGGATCTTATTGATATATGGCTGCATACAAAGTTTCATCAAACTCTGTGAACATTTACTCAAGTTCTCGTGTTCACAAGGTCCAATAATAATATTATTACAAAGGGCAATAACTCTGTAAGTTACTGTCAAATAATTCCCATTATTGAACTCGTCCCGAGATCTTATTAAAAAATGTCTGCATGCAAAGTTTCATCAAACTCGGTTAACATTTACTCAAATTATCGTGTTCACAAGGTCCAATAATAATAATATTACAAAGGGCAATAACTCTGTAAAATACTGTGGAATAATTCCCATTTTTGACCTCGTCCGGGATCTTAATGATATATGGCTTCATACAAAGTTTCATCAAACTCTGTTAACATTTACTCAAGTTCCCGTATTCACGAGGTCCAATAATAATAATATTATTACAAAGGGCAATAACTCTGTAAGTTACTGTCAATAATTCCCATTTTCGAACTCGTCCAGGATCTTAATGATATATGGCTTCATACAAAGTTTCATCAAACTCTGTTAACATTTACTCAAGTTCCCGTGTTCACAAGGTCCAATAATAATGTAATTACAAAGGGCTATAACTCTGTAAGTTACCGTTGAATAATTCCCATTATTGAACTCGTCCCGAGATCTTATTGAAATATGTCTGCATTCAAAGTTTCATTAAACTCGGTTAACATTTACTCGAGTTCCCATGTTCACAAGGTCCAATAATAATATTATTACAAAGGGCAATAACTCTGTAAGTTACTGTCGAATAATTCCCATTTTCGAACTCGTCCAGGATCTTAATGATATTTGGCTTCATACAAAGTTTCATCAAACTCGGTTAACATTTACTCAAGTTCCCGTATTCAAAAGGTCCAATAAAAATAATATTATTACAAAGGGCAATAACTCTGTAAGTTACTGTCGAATAATTCCCATTTTCGACCTCATCCAGGATCTTATTGATATTTGGCTGCATACAAAGTTTCATCAAACTCGGTTAACATTTACTCAAGTTATCGTGTTCACAAGGAAAAGTTAACGCAAGACGCACGACGCACAAAACGCTATCAAAATAGGTTACCATGAAACCTGTGTGAAAGATATCAGTTTAATCAGGGACGTATAATATACTGTCCCTGGTTTTATCAAGTTAATAGAATCCGCCATTTCACTGACAAAAATGTAATAAATATATATATGCCAAATGAGGTACATGTTTACCAAAGGATCAGTGCAATGAATATAAAACGAGAACAGGTATAAATTTAGTAATGAGAGTCCTAATACATATCCTTTTGGGGTAGTGACCCCACTGCCCATATGACCACACTATCTATTACTTTTGGGGTATTGACCCCACTGCCCATATGACCATATTATCTATTACACTTGGGATAGTGACCCCACTGCCCATATGACCATACTATCTATTACGTTTGGGGTATTGACCCCACTGCCCATATGACCACACTATCTATTACTTTTGGGGTAGTGACCCCACTGCACATATGACCATACTATCTATTACTTTTGGGGTCTTGACCCCACTGCCCATATGACCATACTATCTATTACACTTGGGGTAGTGACCCCACTGCCCATATGATCATACTATCTATTACGTTTGGGGTAGTGACCCCACTGCCCATATGACCATACGATCTATTACTTTGGGGGTAGTGACCCCACTGCCCATATGACCATACGATCTATTACTTTGGGGGTAGTGACCCCACTGCCCATATGACCATACTATCTATTACCTTGGGGTAGTGACCCCACTGCCCATATGACCATATTATCTATTACTCTTGGGGTAGTGACCCCACTGCCCATATGACCATATTATCTATTACACTTGGGATAGTGACCCCACTGCCCATATGACCATACTAGCTATTACTTTGGGGGTAGTGACCCCACTGCCCATATGACCATATTATCTATTACTCTTGGGGTAGTGACCCCACTGCCCATATGACCACACTATCTATTTCTTTTGGGGTATTGACCCCACTGCCCATATGACCATATTATCTATTACTCTTGGGGTAGTGACCCCACTGCCCATATGACCACACTATCTATTACTTTTGGGGTAGTGACCCCACTGCACATATGACCATACTATCTATTACTTTTGGGGTCTTGACCCCACTGCCCATATGACCATACTATCTATTACACTTGGGGTAGTGACCCCACTGCCCATATGACCATACTATCTATTACTTATACACTGTTGTTGAGAACCCTTGACCCTGGGATCCTTGGACCCAACTACGGTTATAGCCCTTCATCACTTGGCCAGGGCATGTATGATAGTGAATAAGATTAAAATCACTAATACTGAATGTCCACCTCAATTTTCCATGCTGGGACCTTCCTCTTTGCCACTCGGGATGCCAAAGCCTAAGTCTATACACATTGAGTGCCCTTTGCCTAAGGATATTCCTTCCAGACCAAATTGGATTGAAGTCCATTTATTTATAAAGAAAGGAAAAGTTGGGCACTATAACAAACCATCGTTGTTGATGTACTGTTTGCAGAAGTGTCACCTGAGGCTGGTAGGGAAGATTCTGCCCCAGAGCCTTGATTGGTTACAGAGTCAGACTCTGATCTGTATCTATCTTCATCAGTTAATGTCATTGATCCTATTCCAGATTCAGGATCTTAAAAAGTGCAAAACAAACATTAAATATTAATAAATATCATATTTCATTGTGTATGTACTCCACCAAATACACTGTATCTACTCATGATGTGACATTCTACACAGTATTAAACACCTACTCATGTTGACAAACACATTTAAAACTAGATTAACTTACAGATAACCCTTCCCATTGCCTACATACACTGTGTGAAGCCTATTCATGAAACAGGTATGCTGGGAAACCTCTATTACACTGTATTTCAGTACTTGAGGTCAAAGTCAAAGGTGTAATTGAGGCCACAGTGACCTCAATTAGGATGTAACACACTGCCTTTCCATGATGCCAATTCATAAAACTGAAGCTGAGACAGTCAGTTCATTTTTGGATGTGATACACCCCATTCCCTTGATGATCCTATATATACAATGAAACAACGTTAGAACTTGAGGTCAAGGTTATAGGTCAAAGTGAGGTCACAGTCACAGTGACCTTGTCATGATGTACCTATATACAAAGTTCAATGGCCATTCGTGAAACAGTGACTGAGATATGTTCCAGACAGTCAGCACATACTGAGACAAGCATGGACAAAGCGAATACAAATAATATATATCTCCGACTTCGTTGGGGTATAAGAAAGCCTATGCTGACATATTATTAGTGTAGTATTAATGAAGAGAACAACATTTAATTATGTCATTGCCTGCCTGATCAATATTCTGATTGCTTTTTTTTTTACAATTTCACGATGAAAATATGGCTCCTATCCACATATCCTGCCAATGTCTATGTATTTAATTTGCCAAAAAAGGCAGAATATAAAAGGCAAAAGGGGGCATTTTTAGCAAATACTGTTGTAACTTCAATTTCTACAAAAAAGTTTAACCCAAGCATTTTTTATACACATTTGATGATTTGTTTTAATGAAATCATATAAGAAATTTGAGATCAATTTTTTAGTAAAAAGTGAAATAGCCAATGACTTCTTACCATACAGCAATTGACTATTTTGGACTAACAAATATATAAGTTGCTAAATTATATATATATTTTTTTTTTTTTAAAGTACTGTTCACAGCCTCGAAATGGTGCAGTGTTAATTTTGTGTTTTTATTACGAAACTAATATTCAGTCAGTTTAGAATTTGTGGGAAACTGATTGGTCTGTGTTGTGTCTGGTATTTTAAGATTTCTTATCCTATTTAGTGACCTTCACACAACACATTTTTACTATCAGCTGATCTGTTGAGCATCGACTGTTCAATAGAATGAAAACACATGTGATGAGTAATATATTACTTCCTTAAATAGTGTAGTAGACAAATATTTAGTTGGTTGAAGCAGCTAGAAAAATGGACCCGAATATAAATACTTTTATCTATGTACATGTATGTGTTTCAGTGTAAAACTGGCTGAGCAGCAATACTCAAATGTAATCTCAAATTTGATTCTGTTAACGACATTGGTGAATTTGGGAAGGAAGCTTTCCACGAAAATAACACTGATGCAAAACAAAAATGCCCACTATTATAGAGAGTTCTCCTTTACAAACATTGTAGAACATTTTGTTGTGGTTATATGGTACAATTGTATGAACATAAAAATAATTTGACTACTGCTTTGTTACAAAAAGATCGTTTTAGATGCCCAAAGTTTTACCCCTTTTATTATGATGGGCTAAATCAACAAGAGTACCGCGGGGCAGAACAATATACGCCATTAAGTGTTATATACTGTCTTACATTGAAATAAAATCTGCATCATTCTAAGAGTGGTTAGCTGGCATGCTATAAAAAATGTAGGAGAAAATCTCTGGACAAAAAATCAAATACTGAAATGAACAAAGGGCAATAACTTTTGCAAAAATCGTTGAATTAAAATTCTTTAAAGGGAGACACAACTTCATATCATGATTATAATGTATACCAAGTTTCAAAGAGATCCGTTGAAAAATGTAGGAGGAGATTGCCAGACAAAAATCAAATACTGAAATAAACAAAGGCCAATAACTTTTACAAAAATTGACGAATCACAATTCTTTTCAAGGAAACACAACAACATATCATGATTTTTTTAGCCTACTAAGTTTCAAAGAAATCCGTCAAAAAATGTAGGAGAAGATCTCCGGACAAAAAATCAAATACTGAAATGAACAAAGGGCAATAACTTTTGGAAAAATTGTTGAATCAAAATTCTTTGTAGGAGGAGATTGCCGGACAAACAAAAGTTTACGTCGGCCGGCCAGTCGGCTGGACAACGCCATACCATAATACTAGCGTCAAATTTGACAGGCGTATAATAATGACACGCAGACAGTGATGAATAAACAGAAGAGGCCACACAAGGTCTTCTCAGTTTTCTCACACAATGTATCCAAAAAGCCCACCTGATATAGGTGTATACTTTGCTTAATTCTAATAGATGTTACACTGTCAGGCTATGTATCTGTCATTTATATGCCTGCGACCAGCTGGTGATGTGCAGTAAAAGATGGCAGCTCAAGGGATATATACAAATTGCCTTACAAGAAAAAAAAAATCAAAAAAATCCTTTGGGTGAGGAGAGCTTATCATACCTTGAGCCTGCGGTACCTGTTGTTCAATCTGATGTACGAATACTGAAGTGCCAATATCGTCCTGTTCTCCTCTACAAGCCTGGAGGAAGAATTGCAGAATCTCATCATTTAAAGACAAGTAAGTATATAAGCATTTTCATCTACCCTAAATGTAGTTGATACTGCAGTCTTGGGCGCATTCATCAATTTTCATATCCCCTATGACCTATCAAAATACATTAGATAATGTAACGAGCTGACGGTCACCCATCCAGCTACTGACCACGCCCGACGTTGCTGAACTAATTAAGTGAGCGGGTCCCCAGGTTATACCGCATCACTGGAAAGCTAGCTTGCCAGTAAGGCAGCATTACCCCACAGATTCGTTAGCTGTTACACTATTCTCCCCTCAAGAGAAGTCTCGTCCTGAGACTTGGCCTAGGGAAACCCTTAGTACCTCCCCCTGTATTAATGCACCTTCCCTAACCACCGAAAACTGGCCTTGCATGATCCCACCACTGTCACCAAATGTGACGTGCTGGTGGTCGACCCATTCAGCTACTGACCACGCCCGACGTTGCTGAACTAGTCCCCTGGTTATACCGCATCACTCGAAAAGCTAGCCTGCCAGTACGGCAGTATTTTCCCCTCAAATTCCTTAGCTGTTACACTATGGTGTCACACTTATAATACACTGTTAACTGTAACATCATTATCAAGCAGTGTATCAGAAGAAAAACAAGAGATCCCAGAGGGAGCTTGGCTCCCACCTTTGTACCATCTTCATTAGTTCTTTGTCAGTTCGATCTTTTCTCTTCTTTCCTCTAATCTGTTTGATCGAGTCATGTTAACAGTAAATGCACCTTGAGGTAACTTTTGATCTTAACTTAATACTGATGTGTATGAAAGCCAACCTTCAAAGTGAGTTTGTCATTTCACATATTTACTAGTACAGTACTTAATGTGAAAGAAATAGAAT